AAAGTCTCACATCTGACATGTTACTTTTGTATGTATCAGAATCAGAATCAGAAATGCTTAAATAATCCCAGAGGGAAATTATTTTTGTTACTAACTCAAGAAATAAAACAACAGCATATACATATATACATGTCTATACATATATATATATATATGTATGCATATATATATATGTATGCATGTATGTATTTTGTATATATGTGTGTATATAAATATATGTATATATATATATATATATATACATACATATATATATATAGAAACGTGTACATGTATATGCTGTTGTTTTATTTATGTAGTGGTTTATATATATACAAAATTCCACACAGAATATAAATAAATAAATATATACATAAGTAACTATGTATATATACAGGTCTAAAATAAGTGATAGTGATAATGCCAATAATTTAATTAGAATTTACAGAGGCTGTATGTATGTATGTATGTATGTATGTATGTATGTATGTATGTATGTATGTATGTATGTATGTATGTATGTATGTATGTATGTATGTATGTATGTATGTATGTATGTATGTATGTATGTATGTATGTATGTATGTATGTATGTATGTATGAATCCTGTATTTCAATATCAATCACATTTTCCTCTGCCGATTTAGGAAAGTTAGATTTTTTGTTATGACCAAGCTTCCCTTTTTCATTGCTGTGTCTCATTCCTGCAAATCTTTGAGTTTCACAACACGGCCACAGAGACCAGAACAGATTCCCTTCAGAGGGACGAACAACTGGACTTTAAGCTTTTTATATCAGTTACCGACAGAGAGAACACAAACCGCCACAGTTCATTAGACTAACAAGCTTCTGTTTCTGTGTTTGTGACGCCTGACAGGAAGCTTTTTTTATTACTTCCACTTTCCAGAGGAATTTAGCACTCTGACATTAGCATATTTCACAAAACCCGCCGTAGAACATCAAAACAGAGGCAGGCAAGCGTAAAGATTAATAGATGATTGATAAATTATTAATAAAAAGCAAAACAGAAAATTAAGAGACAAATACATGAATAGAAATGTAAAGTGAATTAAAATAATTTGGGTTCAGGCGAACAAATAAAGAAATTTAAACAGAAAATATACATAACTTTATACATAAATAAAATGCCAAAAACTCAAATAAAAAGATTAATCTTGTATCATATTATATCCCATAATGGAGAACTGAGGTGAGACGGAGGCGTGAGGCTTTAGGGGAACCCATCACAAGACATTTATTTAAAGTGATTTAACCCTTTAAAGCCCGATCCAAGAAAAATAGGAAGAATATTGGATTTTTTTTAGTCTGAAGTCTTTCTTTGGCCCCTCAACAACATATGAAGAAAAAAAATAGGAATTATTTTGATCAAATTAGCGTGCAATAAGTCAAAAATGTATGTTGGTGTAGTCTTCTACTGGCTGTTATCAGGTATATCTGAATGTGTACAACAGGGGTTTGAGC